AATTTTAACACGTCTTGTCGTATTGTGTAATAGTAATTACATACTTAACATATAACATAACTCCACAGTAACGAAAAAAATGACACCGGTTGCCCCTCAAAATATTTCGTATCTTGGAATAGACATTTAGTTTGATCACGGCCTTGGGTATGAAGGTATGATGACGCATCTACACGAACGAAAAATATGGTGCCTAAATAATATTTTATAACTTTCGATTAAAAACTGATATCAAAAACGATTATTTCTTTTATATTATTATCGTATGTGCCACATTAACCCGTTTACAGATAATACAAATGACGCGCGAGCAATAACAACGCGTGCAATGATTGAGTAAATATTTTTCTTTTATCGCCTCGTACGATCGCATAATAGGAATATGTAGGTATTAAATGATTAATTATAATTTCTTAATGATATCTTTAATTAAAACAAAAAAATATACATACACACTCACACGCGCGCGTGCGCAAACCGCAAGTTTATGATCATTATCGGAAAAAAACGTGTGTTGTACCTATTATACTTCTATATACCTACATTTTATTTATACATGTATATATATTATGCCTGCAGTTGTGTTTTGAAGAAAGTCGTCCGTTTTCGCTTACAGTACCAATATATATATATATAATATTTGAAAATGTTTACTTTTTAGCGGAACCAGTATATATATATTATATAATACTATATAGTGATACAATTATAACACTTCCTACACAATAACACCTATACCTCTACCGCAATCGGACCATACAGGTATATATAAATTAATATTATCTCGATTAATTATCGCATATTGATCACACATGCCTACACGTCGAGGATTAAGAACATTATATTCTAGTTCCTGTCCACGCGATTCTGCACCCGATATTATTATTTTAAAGTTGTATACATTAAAATATATTATAGCAATATAGCCGTATATATACGCAGATATTACACGCCACTCATAATGTGCACTACACTATATCTGTATCTATATATTATATTGTACAATGTGTTGCAGAATTATCTTACACATAACGGTCTTAGCATGGAATTGTTTTTTTTTTTTTTTTTTATTGCGTAGGGCCACAATTATATGGTTTAGTGACAAAATATTGTATTAGGTATGTGTATACTTTACATAGGTACTATATAWTATAGTTATGATATTGACAGCGCTGGTCGATTATAGGCTCTGTCGGTCCGTTTTATGCCAATAAATCTAACCGCTAGGGAAAAATAAATGAAACCCGATGGGGCTCCGTCAACATCAATTAGCTTTAAGTCTTACGCACATACAAATATACAATTATAGTATAATATATACTGGTCTGCTGCATCACGCACGTTATATTATATAGGTACATATATATGTATACCACTATACTGCTATATATAATTTTTACTTTATTTATTTATTATTWTTTTTTTACTACCGCGTGGCGATTGATGATAGCATATAATATAATATATGATGCGTATAATATAATGGGCATCAGCAGCAGCAGCAGTAACGGCAGCGAATTCGTATTATAATATATATATTATATTGGATCACGTACGCGGACACGAACGGTTAACATTCACACACACACACACGCGCGCGCGCGCGCGCGGGCATATTCGGATCACGGGTGCACGGCGAGTAATGGAAAAATACATTAACATCCGCAGTGGATCACGCACTGTATACCATCATGTGTATTATAATAATAATATWATATGTGTAAGGTATACGAAACGTGTTATTACGCGGATTTCGGTATAGGTATGTAATATGTATAATATATTTTATTTCGTGACCCATATAACGTGTGTAGTATTGGATTACGAGAAATACGATAGCGCGATGGAAGATTTACGCAGCGGTAGCGGCGGTGGTTTTAGAATAAATAAAAAAATAATAATGTTAATTTTTATACCTACAGATCTTTTGCTGACCGCCACCCAGTGCGAATGTAATTAAGCCGTATGATGGTAATACTGTAGTCTTGCATCTCATGCGACGGCAGTTCGGCATATATTATTTATAGATATCATATACCTACCAGATACCTGCTTACCGCGACCAAAGTAAACATATGCATAAGTATGCTATTATATATACATTTAAATGACCAAGTCTTTTGAATATAGGAGTCCAAAAGAAATTCGCTGTAATATTRCATATTATATAGGTACAAACAACTATWCTGTATAATGAAAAAAAAAGGACATACAAGTCTAATATTAATGCATTTTGTAATACCTTCGTATTTATGTGCCAAATGTGTATAATATTATGACGTATAAAAAGTGTCAGAATGGAAAATCAGTGTAAATATGGTCCAATGGTCAACGATGAATATCGTATATATATTTTATATGTGACTATATTATATATTATATAACCGCATAAAATAGGAAAAATACACAAAGTGTATTCTAATTTATTAATTGATATAGGTATTCTTTATAGTTATGGATATGAATCTCAGCGATCAGAAACTACTCACGACAATTAAAAGCAGTATAAAGAAAGCTCATCCTGGGTCTTGAAATGCTATATAATGGTAACAGTTGTAGATTTATACTGTACTATATGTTGTAATATCATTGATAGCACAACACATACTACGCTGTCGGTCTGTCCGMGTCGATAAGAAAACCTACTTTTTCTCGACACCAGATTCAATACGTCTTATCGAAAAATTCGTTTAACGTTGACAATGCCAGTAAAATAAAAATCCAAAATTTAAAAAATCCGTTTCGTATGAATAAGAGTTTTGCGGGTCTGATTCATTTCATAAGTACCTACCTTTACATTTTCAATAATATACATATAATATGTATTGGAAGCATATACAAATCATAAAATTATATACGCGTAGGTACTCGCGCGTATCATATAAATTATAATTATAGTAGCCATACGACTATCTTGACGTCGTAATATTAATGACACGTTTTCTTCTCACGACAAGCATAATAATGTAATATATACGTAGGTAACGCGAATCGCGTTAATAACAATAATAATAATAATAACAACTACGATATTGTGAAAAAAAAAATTATAAAACTATGCTACCGAAACGTCATCCGCCGCTGCTACGACGCGTGCGTTAATAACCAATTAATACGTCGATTTTGCGTTCTTCGTCGTCTCAGCGGTCATCGAACGTTAATCTCCGACGACTGAAGTGCGCGATTGTCTCTGCTGTCGGTTTGTAATATATCGATATAATAATACACACCGTGGACAGTCTTATATTTTACACACTCATCCACTGCATTTTCTGCAGTCCAAGTAATAATAATGGTATACCCACGTGAGTAAAAAAATCATAATTATTTTAAGATCACCGTATCGCCGCGCCGTCGAACCCGCCGAAGTCGTTCCGTCAATCCAATTTTTGTTTGATTATTTTATTATTATTATTTTTAACGTCTACTTTCTATGCAAAGTGAAATTCTTCACCATCGTCGTCTTAGCAATGTCCAAAATTGGATCGATTAAACGGTCAAGCGAATTATAACGACGCGCGTGCGGCGAAAGCAGATTCTCTGAGAGACGACACACACACACGTCGCACATACATGTATGAGAGTATATTATTATATTGAACGGTTTCACCGATCTTATTATTATTATCGATCGCTATTATTATTGTTTTGCACACATTTTTATTTATTTTTTATTCTTTTATCGCCATTATTTTTCTTTTTAATCTAATTAAAAACGATAATATTATCTTCGCCGTTACGCGTCATCGGATCCACTTTCGACCTGGTCGATTTGCGCGTGGCGAACACATTCCTTTTGTCATAACACCGGCCACCGAATCGGGTCACAAATCAATATACGAGTACCAATATCATATATATATATATAAGAGAACATAGGTACTCATATAATACGTTCACAAATCAGCCTGTCGCCGTTGTGCCATCGGCGAATCATCGAGCGACTACAGTGCGGCAGTTTTGCCATCGGCGAAACATCGAGCGACTACAGTGCGGCAGTTTTGCCAATATCTCTGTACAATAGGTAGATACAAATGTACATACTCCCAGGGGTATGGTTGGGAGGAGGTCGTACGGTCGAGTAATTAAAAATGTTAATAATAATTCGTCTAGCCAGCATGTAACATATAGGTACCATACAAATATAAAATTGTACTTTAAAGATTCTAGAATTAGGAAGTATATAATATTATTATAACGATTATTATCAAGTGATTTACATGACGTGTTCGCTGTACATTATAGGTAAATGATGCCAACGACGATGGTTTGAGATGTCAAAGTTTCAAATCTAACTTTACTGATTTCATAGGCACAATATTTGATTTCGGCTTACATGTTATATAATAAGCATACCTATTTGGGTGGTTATAAGTTCTATTATAATAAACTTACTGTTGATAAATCATTAGTGATTTGAGATTTTTATTTAAAAAGTTAAAAAAGAGTGATTTTTTTAAAATGTCTAGTGAACATTGTATACTTACTCGTTATGTATCAAACGTATGTTAATGTTATAGTCCAGCTATATGTACCTATAATCTTGTATACTTACACTGTGAATCTGAATAGTTATCAATAGCGAAGGAGAAATACTAATAATAATCAGTTGTTTAAATTTTCTTAATATTTTCATTGATTAATTTTCTAATAGAAAACCATTAAAATAATATTGGTATTATTGCAAAGATTAATGTTTATTAAATGCCGTTGTATTGGTGTTTATATTTTTTGCATCATATACTGATATTTAACACATTTTTAAAGTGTACCTATATAATTTCTGTCTCTAGTTAGTAGTTATATTAGATGTTATGATATTCCCACAACGACGTAACATAGGCAATCGAATTTTTAATACTATATACATACAGATTTTCAATTATTTGATTAGCTGGTATATTATAATTTTGTTTAACTGTAGTGGTTTAATTGCTTAATATATACCTCACGTTCGTATTTATATGGCCACCACTTGATTTTTATGTTTATGATTACAGATAAACGCAGATATTCGTATTTTTATTCCCCGGAGGTTACTGCGAAGACACAGCCTCAGACCACGGCGGTCTGTAGATGATCTACTAATCAGGTATGCAAAACACACAAAAACATAAAATCGATTTTATGTAGGTATATAGTATACATTATGTACCTGTGTATTATATACCTATACAATATTATATAGAATACTGCAGGCTAAAAGAATTAACGTTCAAATTATGGTCCTCCCGCAGTTATTATCATAATGCTGTTATTAAAATATTATCAATAACCTCGGGGGCTCATCGGTCACACGTTATACTTGTGTATTATATAGATAAATTTCCCAAAACACTACGTGATCGTATCCTAGTTGTTTTTATCATTTTCTTCACCATCGTAACTGTTTTACACCTCGTTKCCAAAACCGAACTTATTATATTCTAATATATATGCACTCACATAGACATAAAATATACATATAGGTCCACCCGAGTTTCTGTAAGGCCGTAACGAATTGTTACGGATAATTTCTTCCTCTCGTTTATCATAATGATAAAATTAGGGTGATGCTTATTTTTCAYATTATTATTTAGAAAAAATTTTACCGATTCAATATCGGTTGTTACCTATAATATATTATGATTATTTAGTTAMTTTAATTCGATATAAGTACAAACATATTATTGCACATTACACACTCTCTAAGTTCATAACTTTATTGATCATTTAAATAAAAAAATCACGACCTATATTATATTGAAGAATGGATTTTTTTAAGTTCCTAAAAAATGTATATAATAAGTAAATACGCACCGAAACAATATAGCCATATATATTTATGTGTATGTATTTATGTGTAAGTAGCTTAAAATAGCAATATATATTATAATTTTAATAAATTATTTTTTGTAAATAATACAATCGTTGTACCTACCTATATATTATGTGGATATTACCAAAAACGTCTGTATAGTTAATATGAAATGAGTACCTATAATACTTACATGCAATATAAAATAAACACAAATATTGTATTATATATATATTTCCAGAAGTTAAGATACGATAAATTGTGTTAGGTAGGTAGGTAGGTACTTATAAAAACCTTTAGGTATCGAATTATATATTTATGTTTCGTCTTTCATTATTGGTTCTGAGATTCGTGAATAGGTTTATTATTATTATTATGCGAAAATTATGGCCGAAAAGTTGACGAACATAACGAATTTTTTAATCTTTTGTACAATGCATTAAATATAATATGTATATATATATTGATATATTATATATATAATAAATATTAAAAACATATGTACATTATACAACAATACATATCATTATTATTATATTACTACGAACAGTACGAACAAGCGCGGGTTAGTCGAGACTGCAGGCATCGTGTTGCGTTAACGGGCTCGTGAAATATTACACTACAAACAGTGTCAAACCAGTATAATCGTTCCTATACGTATTGCAGTGTACGTATTATATCATGTACAAACCGTTTTTTTGGTTCATCTCGAGATACTTATATTTTATATACTATATAMGTATATATAATACGGKTTTTACGCGTGACGGACTGTGCAGCGCAAGACGAGGTTTTGCCCAGAGAGTCTTACGCCAGTCGTGAATTATAATAATATGATATCGCGTGCACACCACATACATACGTATGATATATGCGCAATAATAAGCGCTGCATAAAAGTAATATATATATACATATATTATGCTCACGGTTAAAACGTAACGTCTGAATTTTAATAAGCTAATTATTATTACWCGTCTATGATTTACGCTATATACATGCTCATCCTCGTTTGATATTTCGCCGACGACTAAGACAACGACGACGACGACGACTGTCGACTCTATATACAACGACTCGATTGCAGTGTTTCGGTATGTTAATGAACGCGCGCGCGGTAATTGCAGCCAGCGATGCTGCTGCCGGTGCGGCACGAACGAATATTATTCGTGTGGCAAGTTTGGGTCGGACGGAGGCAGAGCCGGTATACATTATTTCACACAAACATATATATGTACATATTATACACAAATTATAATAATATGTATATTACACACACACACACCAACGGGCGCTCGCGGACCAATTGGCTCCTAATATAATATATAATATATATATATATGGACGTGGGTGGGAGATGCTGCTGCTGCTGCAGTGTATCCGCGCGAAACTAGGTTGCCCCCAAGCGATTTGAATACGCACACATAATAATATCAACCGGGCATGCCGGTTCGTGAAACCACGCAAAGATCTCCGACGATAATATTATTATTATTATGGGTATATACGCGCGCGTAATCGCGGTTTATTAGCGAAAAAAAATAAACTATATTCTCATTTATGATATTCCCGAACGAARTGTAAAACGGCGGGCAATTTTGCAATTTCGCATCATTTTTCATAGCATAAAATGAAAAACCAACGACGATTTTCTTTTTGAATATAATAATGTGAGCGCACTGCGACATCGTTAACATTTYCGTCCGCGCGTGACACAGTATTATAGATAGGTAAATGTACGATTTCCCCTGGAACGCTCGTCGTTTATATCAAACTGAAAATGTTTAACCTGAAAATCACGTAAATTTCCGTTATCTCTGTAGCATTTTTGTATATTTTAATATRCATCATTATTTTAACACCACGTCACTCATATTGGTCATCCTGCTATTGTATAGAGACGACAAGTCACTTGTCACAAGTGCACAGTATAGGTATAAAGCATATTTTGTTACATATATTATATATTATATACGCACCGTGTGTGTAGTTATCTGTCGATAATTCTTCAAAACCTTCGGATGCGTCAATATATACATACATAAATAAATTTAAGCTATATTCAGCAACGCCAAGGCCATCAACTATATATTATATAGTTTAATGATATATCTGTTTAACGTCATCACATGTTTAAAATGGTCGTCAATCTGTAGCTGATTACATACAGTACCGGCATGTATGATGTGCATCGGATAACACCTACTGCAATAGACGATTTTCAATAATTTTGAGTAAAAATTTAAAAATGTCATTATACATTTGATAGCGATGTTAATATTTGCATATCCCTATTATATTGTATAGTGTATAATATACCTATAATAAATAATGACTAGTGGCAGTATTGAGGATTTAACGATTTACAACGATTTATTACGATAGATATAATATATTATTATCAAATCTTCCTAATACTCGGTGTTACCGCAAATGTCGTTTTAATTATAAAATGAGAAAACGGAATTCCAACTCGTCGTTGCAGCTGTTGCTGTGGAAAGCTACGGCCCGCGGATAAACGTCCACCGAGTACAACGCGGATAAACTCCGTTGGCATTGAGCTCGCTGCACTAGCTGCAGTATATAAGTACTCGTGTCGTGTMTATATAAATGTAGTAAACACCAAACTGGGGCACGTCAACGTATTATATTATTATCCATATATATATATATCGGCGATGGTAATAATAATAATCGCGCCGTCAACCCCTTCCGCCTATATACCGTCGTCGCCAACCGGCCGCAGCAGCGGTGCAACGACATGCAAATGCACTTACCGCCGCTGGTCCAGTTACCGCACCGATGGGCGAGGATGCTGCGGCCGCTGCACTGTTGCACAATTATTATGCGTCTCCGTTTAGGAATGTGCTCTGTACGCGCCTGGCAACGTTCTTGTAGCTCCGGACCCAGGTCGATTTATTTTTTATTTTTATTATTATCCGATACACGTCGTATTTACACACACATACACACGCGCGCGTGAACGCGCTCACACATATTATTGTCATCATACATAAACTTCACCGATAGTCGTGTGTGTGTACCTATATTGTATGTCTAAAAGAAGAAATAACGCTCTCGACACGACTGAAATATGCGCACATTTTTCGAGAAGAAACTAGCGTAAGTCTGCCTAAAAAAAAAATTATAATAATCGCGTAAATTTCGATTGACGACCTCGAGTCAGTAAACGATGTAATAAAATTATATACACACTTATAGGAATTATACGACCAATTGGATTTCATCTGCTGCTTTAGCTGCCGCGTTCGCGTTAAACTATTGAACTCGACCGACTCATATTATATGAGAATATTACTATTATTATTACCATCRTTTCGTTATGTTATGTATTTATATAATATGAGTATGCGTATGCGCTTTAGATGAAGTGATTATAAAAATAATAATAATAATAAAATCTAATACACATCCAATCCAATTATAAACACGTCTACCTAGCTGATTAGATCGTAGCCAGTTTTAATTGAATAAAATGGATACATTTTACGCTCGCGATTATCTCTGTTTTTGCTCGAATAAAATATCATATTATATGCTGGTAGTTACGACCAAAATATATAAAATTGGGCGCGAAATAAAAAATGAAAAAAAAAATGCGATCTGTTTATCAAATCCAATGCTTATGAAATTAAGATCTATTAACTAATACACGTATTACACTTCAAGATTCTGCAGGTTATTAAATGGTGTGATGTGGAGTTTTTTTCCGATCGCAGTCGTAAAATGCACACCTCACCGAAATTGTTGTCGGGCTTCTGATCTAAATTAGTAGGTTTTATATCGGAGTATATTACATACTCTACTACGTGTTTCTCTTCACATTTCTATAATTATTCATAAGAATTATAATAAMACTCGCGCCCAGAAATATATAAACACGCACTCTTGCATTTCTGCAGATAATATACACACAAGACACAATGTTATATTATTATATTTTATTATACGATTTCCATAGGATTGAACTGTAGCCCGAGAATGCGATTGTACATCCGATTCGATTGTAGGTATATATAATGATGATGCAATTGTGCATCTTGTTAAACATTTTTAATTAAATTAGCATTGAATGCCACTATATAATAAAACGTATTTCGTGTCTGTTATATTATAATTTCGCGTGTGTACGTATAATATATTATTTGTTATATTATTATAATATTGTTGTAGGTACCTACACAGTAACCGGGCTGTAAATGTGTTGACAGTGAAACACTCTCTCCTCGTAGGTATTAGAGTGCAACTTGCACAGTTGCACCGCGATGGTAATCT